TCACAATGAATCTTTTTATTTTATGCTCATTACAATGTTATATAATTTTTAACATGTCTTATCCTGACCAAGACTGATTAAGAGATCACTTCTCTCTGATACTCTGTACTAAATTACTGATAAAAAAATTATAATTAGAAGTACTTCAAAATAGTCAATGTATAGTGAAGTCATATAACCCTGGAATAACATGTCCACCATAAATCTGCACTAATCAGTCATCTGATTTGATAAATGCATCTAGTTTCTCTTGAACTAAAACTAATTTAAAATTATGTAATGTAACTTAATCATTTTTTGAAGATATATGGCCCTGTTAGCAACAAAAAAATATGCTAATGTTCACTTACCTGAATTCCACAAGCAATGCATGTTACCTCTAGGAATATATGCTGCTTTTTAAACAGAAGCTGAGAAAATAAGGCACTATAGAGAATGAACTATAGGCTTTTTGAACTTCTTATTGACTTCTTGAGCCTAATACTGGCTATTGCACTCCCTTGTGTATATTGACTTCATTTTAAAGTAAGTTCATTTTAATATAGCTCCCAAAAATGTGTGCTTTCTCTTCTTATTCCTGCTTATGTTGAATTCTTTGTAACACCACAAACTTCTGCAGTTACATGCATGTATACTGAAATACTACAATTACTCAGACAGTTACTGTATTACAGTTACTGAGTACAGTTACTGTACTGAGACTCCAGTCCCCAAGTCCTTTGCAGGATGTCAATTGATTTTCTCCTTTTATCGCTAATTGATAAATTTAAGTTTATTATCATTTCCAAAGCTGCATATAGTGTATGGTTATTCATTTTTTTTTTTTTTTTTTTTATTAATGCATACATTTTTACAACAATAATATGGAACTGCTTTACATGTACATTCATATCTGTAAAATGGATATTCATATATTTCAATTGAGACATAATTACCAAAAATAAGCCTTATATCTATTTACATGAACAAAAAAGCATAACAAAAATATATAATGTAAATTAAAATGCATTGCTTTGGGAATCTCATCACCTTATTGCAGAGGAGTGTAGATTTCTACAGTATCCTCACACTCACACTGATCTTTGGGCAAAGAGTGAAAATATCATGAACATCAATCCTATAAATAATCTGGTAGCAATGAAGCTATGTAGTAAAAAGCCCCATAGTGAATTCCATTTAGACTGATAACAGGACCTCTATTATTGGTTTAGATATCCCACTGATCATCCTACATGAGCAGTAAATGGAGGAGTTAGAGGTGCAAAAACAGTTACTGCCTCAGGCCTTGGCTTGATTTTCATTGGACGCACTTCAAAAGTCTCACTGTCAATGCTGAGTTCTCGATCTTCTCCCTGAAATTATTGGAAGAAAGGGAGAGAAAAAACACTGTTACAAATGTATATTCAAACACCATTTTCTAAAAATTCAAACATTTCATGATGCATAAAAACAGATCTTGAAAAGCTCAGTATGTAATCTCAGTTTACATGAAGAAATGTGTAACGTAATTTTTTGAATAGGTTTATAAACTACATACGAAAGTCAAATGCATATGTATATATATAATATATACATATATAATATATATATAAAATATAATAAACATATAAAATATAATAATATATAATATAAATAAATAAATAAATAATATAAAAATATATATATAATAAATATAAATAAATATAAATATTAATATATATATATATATATATATATATATATATATATATATATATATATATATATATATATATATATATATATTATATATATATATATTATATATAAATATATATATAATATATATTATACATATATATATATATATATATATATATATATATATATATATATATATATATAATATATATATATATAATATATATATATTTATATATAATATAATATATATATATATATATATATATATATATATATATATATATATATTATATATAATATAATATATATATATATAATATAATATATATTTATATATTATAATATATATATAATATATAATATATATATATATAATATAATATATATATATAATATATATATATAATATAATATATATATTTATAATAATATTATATTAAATATAATATATATTTATATATAATATAATATATATTTAGTATATAATATAATATATATTTATAAATATAATATATTTTGATATCATAATATGAACTATATATCTATATATAATTACTTATATTAATTAATATCTATATAACTATAATATATTCGTTTCATAATACAATAGCATATTATATTGTAGTATATATATGACACATACATTCTACTACTATAATATAACATATATTCTATATATCACTATAATATATATTTCATATATAAACTATAACTATAATTTACTATTACAATATACATACTATACCTTTATATATAATATAATATATATTTATATATAACGATATCAATACTACTATTCTATGAT